CTATTTAAACTCAATCATTAATTATATTTTTAAAATAATAGCTGAAAAATTATATAACAAGATTTAGCAATTTAGTTAAGTCATAATTATTAAAACTGAAATGGACGTGAAGCCGACAAAAATCAAGGGGCGGGATTTTATGGCTAATCAGTTTGAAAGAAAAAACACAGCAGCAATCATGAAAACTGAAAGGAACATTAATTGGTGGTAATGTAATTTGCAAGGGTGGGTGTGTGGCGAAAGCAGTTGTAATTGTGCCATCATTTCATGGGCTAGAGGCTCAGAGTTGCCATGATGAAACCATGGATACAAGACTGGCTAGCTTTGTTTTTTCATCATTATTTTACTAAGAGTTAATGCTCATCATATTTAAAATTAATCTTTAACAAGTAAAGTATGATTAATATAGCATGTAAATTAATTTAAATTATATATTTGTGCTATAACTAAAAGTTATAAATTAACTTTTTAATTATAAATAAAACAAGTCCTTCCAACGAGAATAAAAAAAATGACACAACATAAAAACTAAATAGTTTATCAATTAAAAATTAAAAAAAAAAATCATCGTGTTAAGAAATATTTAGAATACAGTATAAAAAATAACAAAAATTCATAAAATTTATAATTAAATACATTATAATTTTTTATGTGATGAAAATTGATCAAGTAAATATTTAATTAAATTATTCATCAATTCTATTTAGAGTAGGTAATTTGAATTAAAAATTGCTAAACTCAAATCCCTTAGTGTTAACTAAAAGTCCACTCAGTTAAATTTCATTAGGAAGAAACTTTCTGAGGAGTGACTCAAATATCAATTTTTTTTAATTTATGTAAATTTTCATGCTTGAAATAAAAAACTAATAAACAATGTTTTTTTATAAAAATTATTATATTTAATAATATTAATGCACTCGGTTATATTAAATTTTAAAGTTTTAAAAAATACTAATTATCTAATGCTAGAAAATTTTGTATGATATCTTGACAACCATTAGCTACGCTACAAAATACTGATATTTAGGTAGAGAAAATATAGCTGATCGGCGCCATTTTACAATGATCTCATCAAACTTTTAGGATAATGAATGAGCCTATTTTATATTAATTAATTAAATAAATGGTCTTATTTTATAGCACTATAAAATGAACTATCTTAATCCATTGAATGTCAATGGAAGTTTCAGATAAGAAGGGTCCACGTAAAAGTCCAGGGGTTTCCATATGGTCAAAACCAAGGACCCACTAAAAGCAAGAAAAAGTGTCCAACTAACTGCACAAAACATGAACACCTGCTGCATCTTCCATATGATTAACTTGATTGTCTCTTCCCTACGTAGACATATACACCTAAACCCTTTTGCTCTTTTCTCCTCAATTTGATGCCTAAATTTGGCTTTCAACCACCTTTAAAAAGCTACATGTTCAAATTAACCATTTTTTTAAAGTTATATATATTATTTTTAATTGTGCATGATAAAATTTAAATATAATCATTTTTTTATTAAAATGATTAAAATTAATATAATTTAATATATTAATATTATTAAACATTATAAAATTTTAAATTCTATTATTTATACATTTTTATTGTATATAATTTTGCATGGGTCAAATAAATAATAAAAATGTAACCTACTTTTAAAGTTGACCAAACTATATTCTTTTTATCCTTTTTTACTCATTTTTATTATTATGCAAAAAAAGGAGTATATTTTATTCAAATTTTTAATGTTATTAATTACTGTATACATGCTCTTTATTTCTTCAATTTATTACACGCGCAGCGAAACAAGCAAAACGTAGCGGCAATGAAAACACCGCGTAAAGTTATGTGAAACAGAAACCTAAAATGAGGAGAACCTATTCTTTTAAAAGACTTTTTCATTAATATATTTTTTATAACAGTCAGTCTCTGTTTTATTTTGATTTTAGATATAATTAATATTTTAATCTTCTAAATATTTATATTTTTACTTGACTTTTTAATTTGTTAACTTTACTCTTGTTTTAATTATAAATTTATAATGACAATAACAATAATTAAAAAACAAAATAATTAATGAAGTATCATCAACTAAAAAACTTTCTTAGTAGATGTTTAAAAGTTCGATGATAAATAAAATCAAATAAAAGAATTAGACAAAAAGTTAAAAAAACCAAATTTACCAAAATATCAATATAAATAATTTAATTAAAAATATATTTTTGTGTGTAAATTTCATTTTAAAAAAATCATCATTATACACTTAAATGTGCTATGTATATATTTAGCAAGAGACATAAAAAAAATAATGATTTGGTGCCATAAAAATAGTGAAATAAAAAAATAAAATAAAAAGATAAAAATATTATATAAATTAATAGATGTACAAAAATATTGTGTAGAATAATTTTTATAGTTACATGTAAACACTGAAAATATTTGACAGTATTTCTTACTAACTTTTTGGGGATAATTGAAATTTATTTTTTATTTTTTAGATATAATTATAAGAATAATAAATAAAAAAATTATATATAACATTATGGATATAATAAATGTTAAGTTTTAGTTAAAAATTAAAAATTAATAAATCTCTTTTTATGATTTTTATTATATTATATTTAATTTTAATAATGGTTTAAATTTATAAATTAATATATTTAAAATATTAATTAACAACATTTTATATATAAATTTATAATATTAAAAAATATTTCCCAAGGTGAACACCATTATATTGTGTCAGAGTGATTGTTATGAATGAGAAAGAGTAAACCAACAGAAACGACGTAGACACGCAATTCGTTGTTGGGTTTATGTAAAACTGCGCCCATCGCCTTGCATGCATCCAAACACTGCCCTACTGCACCTCTTATGAGTTATACGTTCTCGCTCCTCATCCCCATGTGAATGTGATTAATTGAATGTTAACTCTTTACTCTTCAGCCACGTGTCACTGCGCATGAACAATGCATAACACCAGCACCGTTTGTAACCCTAACAAAGATAAGGATAACTTTAACCGTATAACCAAACGAGCTGGAGAATTTTAGATCCCGAGCAACACTACCCACATTAAATGCTTGCTCAGGTAACAGCACCCGTGCAAACCGTAGGCTGTACCGCAAGTTGCGTAAGCACACACACAGCACCCCACCCATCTCAGATTCTAGGGGTCAAGGATGAATGCAGCTGTAGATTAGCACAATCCATCTTCTGCGTTATGCTTTATATATATATATATATATATATAAAAAATACTTTAATATTTTTTTAAAAATACAATAAATCTTTAATTTATTAGTGAGGTTGTTATTATTATTTTTAAATTATTCAATTAATACAAATATTTAATTTATTATAAACAAAAAGATCTCATGAAAAAAATATTATTTTAAAATTTTATGTAAATAGATAAATAAAAATTATTTTTATAAAAAATAAATAAAAAGCATAATTAAAATGTATATATAAAAATTTTAAATTTATTACATGCAATTCTTTTTTTACTCAAAGTTAAGATCAGCTCTGACCAGATCTTTTGATTAATTATGTTTTTAAAATTTAAAAATTTTAACTGAATTTAATAACACCCTCTGTTCCTTATAGCTGAACTCAAAATAAAGTTTAATTGTTATTACATATTTTTTAAAACTAATACTAGTTGGTGCATACAATTATAAAGGATAGAAAGCTTTCATTGTTTATTTACAAGGTCGGAAAATTTGCAAGTAATTTAGGACAATGGTAACAAGGGTGGGTGGTGCCCACATAAACCCGGATCAGACAATCACTGTCTGATTAGATTTAGATTGATGGAGGGTTTCAGATGACCCCATCATTATCATGATAATCATGTGACCTATCTATGATCATCACGAATGGAGCAAGAAAGGGTCACGACCCTTTTCTTTTATCTTTTAATGTGACAAGAAAAGGAAAAAGAGAGAGAACCTGGTGTGCCCTCTGTCCTTGTGTTGATAGGACTTGACGATTACAAAAAAATTGGTGTCAAAGTGTCAACGCCGTTAGATTTTTGGAAACAAAATTAAAAAGTAGTTAGGTTGTCTCTGTCGTGAAAAAACACCTCCTACTACTACTGGTTTAAGTGTTTTACATTTTCGGATCTACACACAGGTCACAGCTAATACCCCATTGGCCTCTAGCTTCTTCCGGGTGCTTTGTCTGACACTGCTTCCCTCGGCACTCACCACTACTGGACTCTATAAGGGTTAAGTCAGTGGGCTTTTCAAGTTTTCATCTTTCAATACAATACCCCTTCAAGTACAATTATATAAAAATTTATCACTTTCAATACAATACTTTGTGCTAATAACTACAATGCATTTTTATACAACTTTTGTAATGGAAAATTGAAAAATTCATACTAGTATAAAGTTTTAGGAATCTTGGTGAATAATTGTTCTGGGTATTTAACTCAGAGGAATGATTATATCAACAGCGTCAACAGTCAACCCACGTGAATATCCTATATTTTGCACCTAATATCCCAATTGCACCGCGGATATCAAGAGGCGCCAATTAGCTGCAAAACATTGATTTATGTGTACTATAAGTAGAATAATTAAATGGGATGGAACACATACTGTGTAACCATTATTTTCAAATAAACAAAGTCACTCCTGACACAGGAATTTGGGTTTTATCACAATATATAGTGATGGTGATGATGTATGGTGGCCCACCCACCCCACTTATCACAAGAGCCTATATAAAAACACTGTTTGGGTTGTTGCTGGGTCCATGCCTCAAAATCCCAACTTCAGTGTGCACCCCACCTCGCAAACATCCATGATTTCCCTCACATTGAAACAAGGGACACCGAAATATTATAAAGTCCAAAAGCTACACACAGCATTCATTAATGAACTTGATATTACTATGCGTGCCAGAAGAAATGATAAAGAATAGCAAAAGATTATGATTGTAAAGAAAAATTAGACTTCTGGAGAGATGAGGGCGAGATGGCCTTTTTTTTGTTCACCTCTTCCCTCTCTCTCTTTTTTTTTTTTTTTTTGTTTTTCTTCTGAAATTTATTTCTGTTTGCGACATATAAACACATATAAACATCTCACATGGAGGAAGCCCACCACCATATCCCCCCAGTTACATCTCATACTTTCCAAGATCATAATATTATAAAATCTATAAATTACTCTCCTATGGTAATTTAAAGCTCTAGTTTACCTTGGATGAAAAGGGATAATATAATAGAAAATTGAAAACCAAACTAAAATTAAAACTCATTCCCATTGTATAATATTGCATCAGATTAGAAAGGGTCTGCAAGCATAACGAACACCCCTCTCTTGTCAGCACCACCACACTATTCCATATTTCTTCACATAACACTGCAGCTGGAAGTATTTTCATCACTGAAAAAGTTGGAATATGGTTCCTGAGGAGGAGGAGGAGGATAGCTATAAGGAGGAGGATACATGTAATTGACAGCCATCGGGGGCCTAGCATACATCATTGGTTGAAATCTATCATTCCCCATTGCCCTTTGTTGGTTCATCATAGCAGCCATGTACTGTTGTTGTTGGTAAGGATTTCCGGCCATCATATCAGGACCACCACCACCTTGGAAGTATCCACCCCCACCGCCACCATTCACAGTGGCTGCGGGAAGGCCTTGAACGGCTGGGATGTTACCCATTTGGTTCATTTGCATGTTGGCCACAGGGATACTCATGTTACCACCCATAGGCCCCACATTAGGCCCAGCCATAGTAGGATTATGACCACCACCCATGTTTGGGAACCCATTGTTCACAGCTTGAACACCACTATCCATTACATTACCCTTTTTACCTCCATTCCCATTGTTATTTGGAATGCCGCCGCCTCCACCATTACCGCCACTATTTTTGTTTCCACTTTTACCCTCCGGCATGCCCATGCCCCCTCCATTTTTGCCACCATTGTTTTTGTTACCTCCACCTTGATTCTGATTATTTCCACCACCGCCGCCGCCGCCACCTTTTTTTCCTCCATTCCCATTTTTACCATCATGTCCACCCCCCAAGTTATGTACTTGAACAGGCACATGTCCACTACCGCCGCCACCCCCTCCTTTCTTCCCATTACCTCCTCCACCATTGCCTCCCTTCTGATTCATCATACCCATACCATTCAACATCATGTGAGCCCCATTTCCCATAGGCGGCTTCATTGTCTTATTTAAAGGATGCTGAGGATCATCCATTTCATCATCATCATCATCAAACTCATCATCATAATCTTCATCCAAGTCATCTATATCATCATCAGAGAGATCATCTTCAGGCAAACTGAACTTCACTGCTTTGGCGTTGGGGTTCTGATTGGGCAGTTTCATGTCCTTGAATTGAGGCAGCAGCTTCAGATCTTGAAACCCTTTCATCTGCTGAAGCTGTTGCAGCTGCTGCTGAAGCTGCTGCTGTTGTTGAAGCTGAAGCTGCTGTTGCTGGGGGTTCTGTCCTTGTTGATTACCCTTTGGTTGGTTAATTGCACCTTTCTGATTCTGACCCTTGTTGTTTACTCCACTATTGCCATTGTCAATTTGCATGTTCTTCAACTGGTTAGCAATGTTGTTATTGTTGTTTCCTTTAGGTGCACCCCATAGCTCTGCATGTTTCCCTGATTTTGAAAGCTTCTTGATGAGAACGTTGGGGTCCACATTCCCCGAAACCGTCACCCTCCCTTGTTCTGCATCTATCTCTGTGGTAAAAACCCCTGTGAAAAATAATGGACCCAATAAATAACCAGTCGAACCACCTACTCAAAATGTAATGAACAAAGAGAAAAAAACAGAACTTTTGAGAGCTATATATGTGAATCAATCAGGTATAACACCCCTTTTATTTTTTTTTTTGGCCTAGCAGATGAATAGATGCTTACCATCAATCTTCTGCAAGATTTTCTTAACTTTGTTCTTGCAGCCGTCACAGTGTATGTTCACTTTAAGAACACATTTCTGCATGTACAAGCAATCCCCAAAGGCAAAACAGAATAAAGAGAAATTTCATTGTGAACAAGAATTAAAATGGGATAAAACTTGTTACTTTATCAGAAATGACATTACATACAAGGCAAAAACACTCAGCAAGTAAAATAAAAGGTGGATCAAATGAAAAATTTGAGGCTTTGCCGAAACAGATAAAAAATGAAATGGCGTACCTGTATCTTCAAAAACTCTTCTTTACTCATGTCTTACCCGGCAATGGCTATCAGAAACAAAGAGGGTGATAATAGATCTGATAAAGGAAGATAGAAAAAGAGGTTGTTTGAATGTTTGGGTTATGGGGTACCGCTTTTGGAAGCAAACAGAGAGCCAATGACAGAAAAGAAAAGTGTCTCAGTGTCTGAGTAAGCAGAGAAAGCGAGTCTGAACAACAAGGCTCAGACTTGGAGAGAGAGAGAGGTTCAAAAATGGAGGGTAGTCATTAAAACCTTTGAATGGTGTTTTTCAGAGTGAAAGAGAAAGAAATGAGGGAAGGGTGAGACATAACTGTGTAGCATAAGCAAAAGAAAAAAAAGGGAGAAACATTAAGCAAACACAAGCACAGAGAGACGGTGCTCCAACACTTTGCTCTTTCTTTTCTCTCTTTATTATTTATTTATTAATGCAGCTATGACATTAGCTCCTCTGTGGAGACTTTTTATGTTGTGACCGAGACCATGTGGAGCTTTTGGCTTGGCTTAAGTTACTACCTTTAATTCCCTCACAATTTCTTCTTTTATGGCTTGGCTTCGCCTGGCTTGGCTTTCAAGAACGGTAAGATTCCATTACTTCATTCTTTGAGTCTGTTTTCTTAAGAATAACTTGGGGGAAAAAAAAATATTCCTTCTATGAATAACTTGACTTTACTCATTATTTTTAAAGGAGATTTTTCTTTCTTTATTTAATGTTGGTGGATAAAAAGTTAAAATACACGTTAAAATATTATTTTGTTATTAAATTGATAAATTGACAATTTATAATGTTATATAATAACATAATATATCATAATTTTTATTAAAAATTATAATTTTTAATAATATTAATATATTTAATATTTTTTTTTAATAAAACTTATGAAATATGTAATTTTATTTTGTATGGTATTGTACCTGTTAAAAAATATATAATAAATAAAGTAAAAAAATTATTAGACCATACAAAAATTTTATGTATATTTTCATGAGAGAAAGGGATTTAATTTTGTTCTTTATAAAGATATTTTTTAAAAGATATAATGGTGATAATTAATATAAAATAAATTGAAATAATTAAAAAATTTATTATTTAAAATATTTTTTATTTTATAGAAATTAAATATATGTATAATATTTTTTATAAAATATTATTAATAAATGTTTTAGATATATTTATTAAAAATATAAATAATATTTATATTATTAATATAATAAGCAATATTTTTAATAAAAGTATTCTTATTTTTTAAGTCAAAATACAGTATCATAAATGCTTTATACTTTAATTTTATTTAATTTAAAGTTTTATTTATTAATAAAAAAATATATATACTAAAAATATCTATAATATTATATTTAAATTTTATCTATTAATAAATTCACCGACAAACTAATTCATTGTATGAAAAGAAGAAAACCTAAGAAGTCAACACTGTAATCTTTCTTTTGCTTCTTAAATAACGGGCTAAACAAAACCTGAGCAATGTGATGTTCTAGGCGGTGGCTATGTCGCTTATTCACGCGTGTCTTCAAGCGACATTTGGAAGAAGCTCTTTCTTTTGCTAAAACCTTCTTGGGTTGTTTTATTCTTTTAATTTGTGAAAAAAATGCAATGAGTGAGATTTGATTATTAAAAATAAAATATTAAATATCATCATTTTATTGAATAATTTAATTCCTTTTTTAATCTTTGATAATATTTATCAGCAGATGGGAATGAATCGTGTCAGATTTTATCTCCCCAAATTGGGTGATACAATTAATACTACCATTTATTGTATGCAGTGGCTTACATGTAAATTTTCCTTTCAAAACTGGTCTTTTTAGTACATTTTGACTTCGCCTCTCTAGAAATTCTAGCGGATTTCACTGATCTGAAATTCACACACAAACATGTCTTTCTAAGTTATATTATGTGTATATGATAGAAATGACTGTCTCTCAAATTTGCCTGACTAATTAGACAAGGTACATCACCACATGTTAAAAACAAATACTTCTTCTGATTGAAAAATAATATTCTTTATGAATTTATATTATATTTTATAAATTATTATAATACTAAATAGTTAAATCAATTATTTATATTTTAATGATTTAATAAATTTATTTATAAGTAAAGAGTTAACTTTTTATGTAAAATATTTTTATATTATTAATGTATTTGTTGTGATATAACATTGTAAAATTGACATTCAATTATTATTAGAATTAAAAACTAAAAAATATTATGAATAAGATACAATTAAAAAATATTTATTAGCATTATATAAAGTTTAGGGAAAACTTCTATAAATACAATAAAATAAATAAGTTAAATACAAAATATAACCACTCAAAAATAAAAATATACTATCATAGGTCATCTTTACCAGATATACTTTTAGAAGAGAGGAAAAATTTGTACAAAATTCTTATTCTGAAAATGATCTAATAGAATAGAATCTGGATGGATTAAGCAAACAAATAATTTTAGATTTTACTACACAAATAGTTATGGCAGTCACAACATATAAAATAAGAGGAATTAGTAATAAAACTGTAACAAAAGATTTACAATACAATTAAGAAGATAGTGAGATAATATGTTATCCTCGTAAAGTAAAAATGTAATATTAGTACATGTTAAGCAAAAGACATAAGAAAAATATGCAACATCTACTCTTTTTTTAACTATAATACTATACTTTATAGGAGATCCCAATATTTTTAAAAAATGAGTATATTTGTAATTAGTAAATCTAAGATGTCCAACATCTGATTGTCAATAGTATAAAAACATATTTTTATCAAAAATAATGTTAAGAGAAGTTTTGACAGTTAGATTTTGGAAATAAATGTTCATTGTCATTTTTTCACCATTATTTGCACAAAAAGTCATTCAAAATCTAAAAACAAAATGTGAAGGGGGTATGATCCCTTGTGAACAATTAACTTATAGCCAAATACATAATATAACTGTTGAAATAGACATAAAAATATGTGCAGATATAGAACTACAAAACCAATTAAGAAAAGAAAAACTAGGAAACTAAAAGAAATTGAGATTTTGATTTTCAACCTATTAGGGCACCTAGCAAGCATAGTAGAAAAATTAAAAAATAGTTTCCTAAAAAGGCAAATCATGAAAACAAACAAAGACAATAAAAGTCATTTTATAGGGCAAATTGACAAGATAAATCACAAAAAAAAATTGTTTGAAATGTGAAAAACCTAGTCATATTACAAAAAATTGCTAGGTACAACAAAAGATTGACTCTTTAGAAAATAAAGAGTTAAAATTAATACTACAAAAGACAATGATAAACTCTAAACCTAAACCTGAAAGCTCGAAGGATGAATTTGAAAAAGATATCAATAATGAAATATACTAATTAGATAATTTTTCTAATACAAGTTATGAATAACAAAAAAAAAATTGTTTAGGACTCTATGCGATTGTAATAGCTGCATTAGGTTGCAAATAAATATGTTGACCTTAAATCAAATAGGAGTCTTAATATCTATTATAGATAAGTTAGAAGATTCTCCTCTAAAAAATGAATTTATTAGTAAGCTCAATGAATTAGTACAAAAAATAGAATAGGTTACTGAAGAAATAAAACAAGTTGAAATGAAAGAAATATTCTTTAAATTTAAATGAAAATAAAATCAAGCAACAATAAAAGACTTACAAAATGAAATTAAGTGATTGAAACAAGAAGTTACAAAATTAAAAGAAAATAAGCTAACTTTAGAACATAGGCTAAGAGCGCTAGAAGAAAAATAGCTAACAGAACAACAAACCAAAATAACAAAAGAAAAAGAGTCAAAAATCTTTCAAATGTAATTATTAAATTTAATTACTACTCATAAGTGGCTATGTGAAGTAGTTTGAGTAGTAGAAAAATAAAAGTTCATGTTCATTGCACTAATAGATTCATGTGATGTAAACTACATACAAAAAAGGTTCATACCTACAAAATATTTTGAAAAAACTATAAAAAGAGTAATCAGTGCTAATGGTAGTAAAATGATAGTTAATTATAAATTATCTAACACAAAATTCTATAAAGACAATATATGTTTTACAACGTCTTTTGTAATAATAAAAAATATGAACAATCAAATAATTTTACTAATCTCATTCTTAACCTTATTATACCATTTCCAGATTAGCAACAAAGGAATTACTACACAAACAATTTTAGGAAAGATAATTACCTTTGAATTTCTAAGAATGCCTAAAACAAGGGAACTCAAATTATTACAGGAATTTTCTATAAAAAAAAAATATGATAAATAGAAAACAAAAACAAATAAATTTTTTTCATAAGAAAATTGAATATAAAAAAATTGAAGAACAATTAGAGTCACTAAAAATTAAAAAATAATAAAAGATTTTCAAGAAAGTTTTAAAAAAATAATTTGCAAAACAAATCTTATAACATTTCATTATATAAAACAATATGAAATAAGTCTTCCTTATAAAGAAAATTTTAAAGAGAAAGATATTCCAACGAAAGTAAAGCCAATACAAATGAATTAAGAACAGATTAAGTTATGTGACCAAGAAATTCAAGAATTTCTAGATAAAAGATTAATTAGACCTTCAAAATTATCTTAGAATTGTAGAAAGTTTTATATTAACAAAGCCTTAGAATAAGAAAGAAAATTTTTTAGATTAATGATAAATTATAAGTTACCAAACAAAATATTAAAATGGATGAGATATCTTTTATCAAATAAACAATATTTGATTAAAAGACTAACTAAATCTAAAATGTTTTTAAAGTTTGATTTGAAGTTTAAATATTATTAAATATCTGTTAAGGAAAAAGATAAATATAAAATTGCAATCATTTAAATTCAATCTTAAAATTATATATATATATATATATATATATATATATAATTTTTTATTAAAAGAAACATAATCTTAAATTTTGAATCAGTAATTTTTTTTAACAATGTTTTTTTGTGAAACATATTTTTTTCACCATTTTGTGTGTTTAGGGTAATATACACCATTTCCTGTTTTTATTACCAAATATGTTAGTTGAAATATAATTTTGCACTTATATGTTGTATTTATTTATATGTTATTAAAAAAATTAATTTGCTTTTTATATGTAAATTATTTATTTTTTATTAGAAATTTGTAAAATTGACATTCGATGTTTACAACAATTAAATTAAAAAATATTTATTATAAAAAGACAAAATAATGTAATATTATTATCCTTACCTATGATATTTATTTTTAGTTTGATTTTTGTATTTTATTATTTTATAACTGATTGTATCACAGTAAAAATAGATGACAAAAGTAAAATAAAATAATATCATTTTTGGCTATATTAATAAATATAATTTATTTATAAAGTTTAAAGAAATACACAGTATTTAAAAGAATATTCAGAATATATTATTTAACACATTCTTTATGATTTATTAAATTTTATTTAAAACTATAAAAAAATATGAAAATAATAATTAAATTATAAATGAAAATAAATAAATATATTTTTTATAATTTTTATACTTTTTATACTTTTTAGATAACAACCATTGTGTATTAAAAATAGTACATTATTAAAAAAAATTAACATGTCTTAGTGAATTTTAGCAGTTTACATAAATAAAGAATATATTTTAAAAAATATTACGACTCTTGTAAAATTTTTAAATTTATTTTCAAAACATTGTTTGACATGATTTATTTAAAAATTATTTTAATAAATTTTATAAATAAATTTATTATATAATTTTTTAGATAAAAACTTATAAAATAACCGCTTAATTAAGTTATTATCCAATATGCATCCAAAATTTATTAAGTTGCTAAATAGTGTAGTTAGGATAATAAAAAAAAAAGTGCATTCAGGATAGGTACAGTTGAAATGAATTTATTTATTTATTCCAAGTTTTTAAATTATATAATATTATTTAAATATATTTTTATTGCTTAAAATATGCTATTTTTTAAATTATATTGAAATTTCATTTGTTTTTAATTTCTATTTAATTAAGTTAATGTATATTTTAGCTGGAATAAGCATTCAAAGTAAATTTTTTTATATTTTTAAAGTGAATAAAATTAAATAAATTTTAAATGAAGACCAATTGAAAAAAAAAATTTAATTAATGAATATTTATAGTTTAATTTGTCAGTGGTGAATTGAGAACAACTCACAAATAATAAATTTTAAAAATTCATTGTCAACCAGATCTGTGTTCCATTAAGAAAAGTGTTATTTTCTAAGAAACTAAAACTTATAGTGTTATAATTGTATCTATTAGTAAGAGTTGTATTTAACAGAGAGTGAGATATTCATGTAGACATTGTAGATTTAATTTATAGTTTGATGCATTATACTAATATTTATATATTGTGTGTGCTTCATTTGAATAAAATTATTTATCAACATAATATGTTATAATAGACAAACAATTATAATACTGTTAATTTAAGTTTTATCAAATAGAGGCTTAGATTAATGGAGACAAATATAACCATAGTCGTTACAATGTGATATTTTTATTATCATTATTTTGTAATGAGCCCTGACTTAGCTATTTAAGAGATTAAACATGGAGTGCCAGTTGTGGATATTATAGTTATCAACAAAGGAAGGAAATATTCCATACATAAAAAGATTTGCCATGTTCATCTAAAAGGTGACCAAATGCTAATGGAAGACAGTTATGTATGTTCATTTGCAAGGAGAAAAATTAATTACATATCATCAATGTGTAATTATATTTTAACATTAAAAGTAAAACCCATCATAGGGAATTTCAGTTGGATCGCCAAGCCATGGGGTCTTCTTGGTGAAGTGTTTGGTGCCAAACTTGTTTGAAATGAAAATTGAGTTGTCTTTGGTCGCATTTTTACGTGCTTTCTAAAAGCAGGTAGCCTTATAGGTCTTGTTTGCAACCAATAATAGAGCTCTTCTGATTAAATAATGCATGCCCTGCTTTAACAGCATTAGGTGAAAAAAAAGAAGGAAATACTAACTATAGTATTTTGACTAAAAATAAAAAATAAAAAATAAAAAAATATATTTAAGAAATTAAAATTATGCTACCCAGTATTTTGATTAAATAATGCATGCCCTGCTCTTTCGTAATTATTTTTTATTTTTTTAATTTATTGATAAAAGCTACTAATTAGCCAGATTTAAAAAAGGAAAAGTAACCCATAAAACCAGCTAACCCTTTGGATACAGATCGTTGATCACGTTCCATGTTTCTTTAATTTTTTCTTCAATTTCTAACATGCACCTTTATTTTTTCGAACAAATTATTTTTAATATTTGCCCTTCTTGAAAGCCTAAACCGTGATCTTACCCTTCTGGTTTTGTCCTTTGGTTTTACCCTTTATCTCTTTGAGCACGTCACTTCAACCCTCAAAGAGTATTTGTAATGGTGACTAATTAAGACCAAAACAACTTAACCTTTCTTGCCTTATTCTAAAGAAAGAGACATTAGGCTATAATGTAAGTGTGTTTTGTATAGTTCAGTAAGTCAGTAGTATTAGGCTTTGATTGAAACCAAGCTAGATGAAAGTGAACCAAGTATGTGTACTGTCTATCTATTTGTACACATAATTGCAAAACCTTGTGTGAGATGGGTATGGTGGATCCCAGACTAAAGAAAAGGTATGGTGCATCTCTTGTGGATTTGTTCTGACCTCAAACACCACCGAATCCACAAATGTATAATAAATAAATAAATAAATAAACTTAGCTATATATATGATCGTGACAGGCACAGCTATGATAGCATGGATTTTACATAAGTGAAGGAGTGGTGGGTAATTGTTATTTGAGTTGAATAGGGCCATCTATATTTGGTGATATGATTTTACAGATTTTGTCTCCAAAGTTTCTATTGGGGAATGACTTGGGGAGCCATGCAAAGCCATTGCCATTTACGTTGAAGACTTCACAAAAGCAACCACATGGTCTTAATTTGGACAGTGATTGATGAGTGAGAATAAGATTTTGCACAATAAGAGAGGAGGGGAAGGGGGCTATTTATTGAGCCTCACCTAGAAGAGTACAGTTGCAGTTGCATCTCACACATGGCCTGTTCTTTATCTCACTAGATTTTAGCATGGTATGGGAAATTAATAATGGAGTGCAGGTGTTGAGAAGCTTTTACCACAAGGGAAAAGTTTTGATTCTTGTACTATTCCCAATCGTTTTGTTCTATATATACTTGGGAAGTTGGAAGGGATCAAGCATATGCTTTAATTATTACCATTATTCCAAACATAATGACATTATAAAGAAGCAAATGCTAAAGGGAGTCAACAATTCAAGGACAAGTGATTTAGGTGAATATCTGGTTGCCACATTTTTCTTTGGTCTGTATATTCAGGCATTTCATGAGGTTTTGAATTTGGTTAACTTCTTTTCTTGCAAAAGATTGCACAAGATACCAAAATGTATCAAGTCACTGTCTTGAAAAATTTTAGGGAGTTAGATCAACTTTGGGTAGTTTGGTACCTTACCCTGATTATTGGTTTTGAACTTCATCTCTTTTGCTAGACCAAAAGATAAGCTCGTCAATTTTTTATAATATGTTATTATATGGTGCGCCGGCTTTGGCACCAATAAGAACTTACAGCGTATAGTTAGTATCTATATTTTTTCCACCGAATACGCTCTACAATTTTAACCATGTTTCGGCACAAAATGCCTTATTTGTGATCTGATTCTTGTTTTAGTTCCCCCGGTTCTCAATTTTTTCACATAATTGAGTATAAAGTATATCACTAATTCTATTGCACCACATTTCTTCATAAGGAATAATTAAATCATGTATGGTAAGCGACAATTTGATAATTAGAGACAGACTTGTAGTGCCTTATAAGCCAATATAAGGTTGAATAGCACATTGCTAGATATGCCATATACTAAGCAATAATGAAAATAATGGGTCTGGAATTTGATGCCCGTAAGTTTCTTGCAGTCACCCATAAATTGGGGCTTCAGGTGTCACCATTTTTCAAACCGAGCGTTACACGGTTACATGCGTAAGGGATTTTGAAAACAAAAAGACATTTCATCAGAAACTCTACTCATGTCGCATTATTTGCTGGTCCTACACTTGAGTGAAAGAAAGAGATAAAGCGGAAAGATATTCAAGTATATGCATTTTCAAGATTCAAGAGTCCAATTTCACTTTGCAAAAGCTAAAATGAATAGCATTGAGTTTGTGGGCTAGCCCAACCTGACTTGCTCCAGTCCACTTAAGTATGTGGGTTGAACAAACCGGGACACCAAAGCAAACTTGGCCCATGCCTGTTTTTATTTATTTAATTATTTTGCTTGTAACAATATTTAATTTCTAGATTAATCCAAATGATTGTGTAACAGCCAAAAATAAAATATTTTCAATTTTTTTTAGCTCAAGGTGGCTAAATATTTTTTTTTCACTGAACAGGTTGGATAATTTGCGAGTTTTATTCTTAAGAATAATATTCCCAGAAACACTACCAAGAATGTTTTTTTTATAGAGTAAACATGTTAGGTTAAATTTTGATATTCTTAAGAACATTTTGAAAATCCAAATGATAAAAGAAAAAATAACAAAAATATAAGCCACTAATAAAAGTATATGATAACTTCTAACATTCCCATAGAAACGTAATATTCCCATCCATTATCGTGGGAATAAAAGTCAATTAAAATATAAAAATGACTCATTTTTAAAAAGTATATTTACTTTTTTAAAAAATAAAAGTAACAAATATGAAAATGGTACGTTCCCAAATTCATATTCCCAGTAATAATTTTGCAAATTTAAACACACACAGTAGTACAATCATTGCAAATCACATTCCTACCTCTAAAAGTACGCATCGATTTTCCTCGTATCTACTTTAGAAGTTTGACTCACTAAATAATAATTAAAAAAAAAACACTTTAGAAGATAAAATGTACTAATACTATTAATTAAAAAAACTAATACATATGATTATAACTAACTTTAAAAATTATTATACGCATTTAATTTTAATCAACATCTCAATGTTAAATTTTTAATTGACGACTATAAATATCCTTTACCTTTTAACATACACCCCTCATTTTAGTAAATTTGGATCCCTTAGTCTTACCCATTTGTTATCAATTTTCTTCGTCAACAAGCTGAATATCAACCTGTGGTTCAAAAGTATTGTACATAAAATCTCTTTATTACCTATGATCAAACTCATTTACCTAACAATTAATCTGAAGGTTTAATAAACAAAAATTGTCCTCCCAATGAATTTTTTTAGATGCCCGAGTGAATCTATTAAACACAAGATGTGCCAGGGGAGCAAGACGGAAAAATTGATTGCAACGCTTAAGATTTTGTATTGACGACAAAAAAAAAAAAAAAAAAAAGAAACATGCCTTGGATCTTGTCCTCTTTATACTCAATATATCACATTAATCAGAAAGTCCAACACATGGAATCAGTTTCAAATTTGACCAAACACATGATTGAAAAGGTCATAACTTTCAATCGTAATTCTGGGGACCAAGCCAGGTGTTATTTCATTTCTCCCTTGTTCAGCAAACACTGGTAAAAGATCTATCAAACACCATTAAGACAAAAAAAAAAAAAAAGAACTAGGGAAAAATGATCACCTGTACAATATAGATGACATGGGAGCTAACATTCAATCACATGAAATGCGGATATGATCTAGTTTTTCCGTCGAACACATCACACAAAAATTATAAACAAATTATTGACTACAATTTACAAGAAAATAAAAAAAAAATTGCTATATATTACCTGACAGCAGACATGTAAAAAGGGGGTGGATTTTCTTAAGAGGAATTTATTTGGTGCCATTTAATTCAACTTAGCTTAAGGAGAGAAAGTCTCATTGATTGGCATTGTTCACCTTGATCTCTATGAGTTCCTCAATAGACTGACGGCATATAGGACATTTATTGGATTGAAGTCGCAGAGCTTTTGCACACTCACTGCACATACACTGGGAAAACACAACAGATGTAAAGTGTTAATAATCAATGTAGAAAAGGAATGCGGAGCCAATTTGGATATATTTCTAAACAAATACTCCTAGCAAAAGAAAATAAAATAAATCAAGGAGGTAATATGAATCAATCTTCTCATGAATTAAATTCAACTTCTATAGCTCAACTTTTTCAAAACCTTCTCATCTAACTTCCCATAAATACTTATAAACTTAACCAACTTAGCATTCTTGCCTTATAAAAGTCTAAAGAATAGGGTATTACAATTAAAATGCTATCATAAACTAGAAGTTAATTCAAAATGGGTCATAATGTTAAATAGAGTCATGACGTGAAGTAGCAACTATCTGTAAGTATCTCCCAATCGAGCAATTAGTATATTCATTGTTAGTCAGAAACAGACAAAAGCACTATATATTCACTTCTCTCATGGTATAAATATGCAATTATAAATATTCTGCTTCATATGACATGCAACGAGCTTACAACGTTTAAAGCAACTTAACAGGAAGAAAAAAGGTAATATAAGGATCACAAAAGACCAAATTTACATTTTTAGAAGATTAATCTCAAGCTCAGTTTTTTATATGAACACTAAGCAAATATGTACACTATTATCCATGTTTATGTGTCTGCCTGAAACAAAACATTACACATAATATCCAATACAAATCCTAATACATTAAAATGCCTTTGTTTCTTGAAACTGGTTAAGTACTCAATATATCAATAGATTTGATATGAAATCTTACCATATGTCGACAAGGTAACACTGCAGTATCCTTTGGTTCAGTCATGCATATTACACACTCCTTCCCAGGATCATTGTCATCAAAATCTGTTGCAGCTGAGCTTCCTATTCCATATAACTCTCTCAACTCATAACGAACACCATCAATCCACAAAATCTGCCTAACTACTTTTATCTGGAAAGGACCACCACTGTTACTTTTCTCTAAGACACCCTGAGTGATTTGCATGTGAGGGGATGCATCTTGCAAGGAATCACCAGGAGTTTCATCTGCTGAGGGACATGTTTCAGCACATATTACCAGAGGAAAGACATCCTCTCCAGGTGAGGGCTTTGAAAGATCATCCAACTCAAAGAAGCCTAGGTCAATCCCTGTTCCTGCAGGCTGAGCAAATTTCTGGCCAACTCCTTTCTGAAAGGGGATTCTGATTGGCTCAAATGCATCAGGAAATAATGGAACAAACCTACATTTTTCTTCTTCCTTGGCAAAGTAGAAGATAGTAATGCTGCAAATTACAAATATAAGGAGTAAAGAAGTTACATAAGCTAAAATATTTCATTAAATATGCAATATTTACTCAATCTTTAAATATTCACATTTTACAACAATCATTTCATATAATTAATAAATAAAAAGAATCACAACTTCAACATAAACTGTGGTTTCTTATTTCTTCTCTTATTGGCACTTGAAATGATTTGAAAACTTGAATAATTCAAGCATTGTAAGCTTGCTTTTAATACCTACATGAAGCTGCTCAAAATCATAATATAGGCAAAATTGAAATTTCAGAGCAGAAAAAGATGTAATAATGAATGTTACTGTATTGGGTTCTTTTTCACATGACGTACGCATAAGTAAATTGACAATGTGCTAAGTAAATTGAAGATGATGTCATATCATAAGTTTCTAAGTTTAAGTATTTGGAATATATTTTATAGAATAATTAAAAATTAATGAAAATGTTACATAGAGAATATAAGCTGAGTAATTAAAATGAAAAAAAAAAAAAAAACACAGAAGGTTATTTGTAACCGTAAAGTACTTATCAAATGCAAAGAGGAATTTTATCAAATTGTAATATGATAAACTATTCAATATGAAAATGAATATTAGGCTTTAAAGGAACTACACAGGGAAAAAAGTGAGAGCAGCAAAAAATGAAAATGTTCAGGTTGATTTGTGGCCACACACAAACAAAAAAATATACAAAATAATTGTTTATGAAAAAGACTAGGATGACAAACATTGAGGAGAAGATGACAAAAAAAAATCAATTAAGATAGTTTAGACATGTGAAAAAAAAAAAAACCTACAAAAACATCAGTGAAGAGAGTTGATTGTATGATCCTTAACCTTGCGCAAAAGAATAGGAGACCAAAAGGAATATTGGAAGAAATCCTCAAAAGAAATCTCACAATAATTAAGATTTTTAAAAGACTAAATTTTAGTCCTTAAAATTGTGAATGTCAATCAATTTAGTCATTAATTTTACAAAAATCTCACTTTAGTCTTTAATATTTTTAAAACACTCATTTTAACCATTTTACTCTATTTTTTGCTGTTATTTTATATAAATAAGGACTAAAATAAATATCATTTTATAAAGTCAAGGATCAAAGTAAAGTTTGTGCAATTTCAAGGATTAAAATGTTTGACATTTATAATTTGAAGAACTAAAACAATTATTTACTCATTTATGAAATTTTGGTTTTCAACCCAACTTGATAACATTGTGTGATCCATGTAGTCATTTCCATTTAAAGGGATAAGGGTTTGTTGTTGTCATTAAGTTTAACCATCAGTCATGTAAAGATAATATTTTCTTGGACTAATGTATGACTAAAGTACGTATTTTACATTTTGGAGAAAATCATTAAAAGGGATTTCACAATAAATAACATTTTTAAAAATTTGATTTTCAACTAAATTCAATAACATTGTATATCATGTAGTTGACTTCACTTAATGAAATAAAAATTTGTTGTTGTTAACTTTAAACATCAGCCATGTAAAGATTATATTTTCTTGGACTAATGTATCATGTATGATTAAAATACTTATTTTACATTTTTCAAGCTCATTCAACCAATAGTAGTAGTATATTTTATTTGAAGAAGCAATTAAGCAATTTTTGTTGGCTGGCATGTGGAAAACTTCTGTTGAATTCACATGCGCATCCTAATTAAGATAAAACACCAACAAGTTACCTTATTGACTTCATCCAGTTCTGGAAAGAAAATGTAAGCCATTAAAAATAAGCTTTTATACTTTTCAATTTCAAACTGAGCATAACTAGAACACATTTTAGAACCCAGGAAATGCCTCTCACAGAAAAATTAACCATATTTATAATACATGTGCAGGAAGGAGAAGCCTTTTTTTTTCCAAGGAAGATTACCTCCCAGTTGGTTATTTTCTAAGTCCTGGTATGGTTCAAAATTAGGAGATTATTCAACCCGGAATGGCAACGAACCACATATTGACACCAAGGTAGTTAAAATCGGGATTTTACTTTAAATCATAAAAGAGAGTGAAAATCGTAAATCGTAAAATCGTAGATTGAATCGTAAGATTTTATAAATTCATATATATGATATAAATTCATGTTATTCATATAAAATATCATAAATTAAGAGAAAAAAGCTTTAAATCAGTAAAAGCACTTAAACAATGTAGCACTCACAAATCATAATTTATTCCATAACAATGTAATGCATTTACATGAGTAAAAAATAGACCAGAACAGAAAATATGCAAGAACAACAACAATAGATTTAGTTGTAGACCAGATTGCACGCACTAGGAGGACTATTGAATGTTCACAACAATGTTAGGGTTCAAAGCTGCTAGAGGCAAATTAGATTCCATAAAAAGGAGATATATGAAAGAGGCATCAGCTACGATAGGGTTCAACAAAATAGACTTTGCGGGAAATTTTTTAAATCGAAGTGAAATCGTGAAATCCCATAATTTGAGAAATTTTATGATTTAAATCGGGATTTTACAAGGATTTTACTCAATTAGGATTTTATCCACGATTTAAATCGGTGAGACTTCCAAAATCGTAAAATCGTAAGATTTTAAGATTCAAATCGGGATTTTAACTACCTTGATTGACACTATAGCAAACTTCATTCATGTTAAATTGGATCATAAGGGATAAAGATGGCTTCTACAGAAACATTATAAGTATGAGATGTTAAAAATTATATTATAACTAATAATCAAAATTCAGAAGTCATTGTCATGACTAAACATTCAAATTTCAAATATATTATGGCCTAGTTTAGGGGAACTTTTAGAGAAATTCTTATAAAAGAAAAAAATAGTATAAAAAATGAATAATTTTTTTTTAATAAGTTAAAATAACTTATTTTTTTAAATTTTAAAGAAGTTAAATCAGAGAATTTCTCAAAAGATGAAGAAGTATAAATTGTTTTTAATTTATGAGTGAAGTTTTATTTATTTTTTATATTAACTTTTTCTCTAAATGTATACCTATATCTTAATCATTCAATAATAATCGTAATTCCCCAATCATATCTTCAAGATACAAAACAGTGAAGATTGAATAATAGAGACAGCGTTTGATGTGTGACCAGACCTCTGAGAGAATGGGAAGAAGTAGTGGGTAGTAGGAACAACTGGTAGGTCATCAGAAAAATTCTGAGTTGCTGGAAAAATGGTTATTTTATCCAGAAAATGTCATAAAATGAAAAAGAAGAACACGACAAACAAAGAAAGCAAGAAGGATGCGAAGGAGAGGCTGGTCTGAGTTCTTTGAACACTATTTGATCTCAGAGGAGACCAAAAAAAAAAAAAAAAAACAGAAGGGAATGATCACAAATAGAGGCATATAGTGGTTTCTCACATAGAGTGAAATATCAGCCACTAAAACAGCAAAATGGACTACTATTGGTCGCAATTCACTTTAATAGAGAAATGTTCCGCCACAGCTCCTTTATGGTAATCAAGCCAGGGCACTGCAACGCTGAAATGGCGCAGCTACTGGCTACGATTGATAACTAAGGTTATAAATATTTTCTGTACTGTGCATGATAGAAATCTTACCCGTATATTTTGCTGATTTAAGATAAGAATTAAAGACATAGTTATGGTATTAGTAGCCTACAAAGTTCCGGTATCATCTGAATTCAGATAGACACAATTTCCTTGTAGATACCTTGCCAAGAAAAATGGAGTGGTTACGAGTCACAGTAAAAGTTTTCAGCTGGCAAAAATTAGTAGAGCTTGAAAACTGGAAACACAACCATTCTCCATAACAGGACCACAGCAAAACAACCGCACACATGTCCAAACTTGAAAAACCACATCTTTAGGCCCAAATTTCAAGCATCACAACGGAACTAAAAGCTTTCAGAACAACCCATCATCACAAATTGCAAAGTTCATCCATAAAACGCAACACAGAATCATAACCCAATCGAATTTACACTTTCCAAAAGAAGGGGGATATGAAGAAGAAACATTTACCTCCCATCATAGATTGCATCAAAAACGAAAGAAAGGAGGTGATGATCGGGGTTGTGATCATCAAGCTCAAGACGCAAGGTGTCTTTATGGACATTAACATAGTTTCTGATCTTCTTAGCAGTTTGGTGGTCAACATAAGGAGGAGGGGTAGAAGCAGAAGGACGAATCGCAGGCCAACCAGAAGGATGAGGCTGATTCACATAGAAAGGGTGGTAATGAAGACGATTCACAGTAGAATTGGCATAGTTGGTGTAATCATTGGGATTGGAGTAATAGAAGGAATGGGTCTGAGGTTGAGGTGGTGGTGGTGGTGGAGGAGGGGGCAAAGCAGGGGGAGAAACATAATTAGTGCAGTGAGGGGTGTAAGGGGTTGTTGAAGGGAAATAGTAGCCTTGCGGCGGAGGGGGTGGCGGAGGAGGAGGATGAGATTGTGGAGGGTAATAGTATGAGGGTGGTGGAGGTGGGTTCTGAATGAAATTGTTTCTTCTTCTGCTACTCCATGAGATACCCATGTGATGGAAGTGATCAAATTCAGAATCAGAAAGAAAGATAGTTTAATGGAGAAGAAGAAGAAGAAAGGGTTTTGGTGTGGTGTTGAAGAAACACAGCTGCGAATCAGATGCGTTAGAAATTGAGGTGAGGTATCTCTGTATCTCTTACCCACCTTTTTCTTTCTCTACTCTTTCAACGCAATTCTAATATTTTGTTAATTATTATTTTCCTTTCCCTCGGTTTGAGCGGTCTAAAAAATAAATAATCATTAAAAAATATGTTAACTGTTGATATTGTATTAATTTTAAATATATAAAAATAATGACATTAAAAGTTTTATAACTTAATTAAATTTATGTATAAGTTTCTATTTATTTTAGTATTTATAATTACATTTTTTAATTATAATTATTAAATTTTTAAATATTTACTTACATAACTTTAAATAAATAATGTATGTACATAAATTTACATATACATTAATATTATAAAGATTTCAAAAACTATAAAAATATTAGTTATCATTGTTAAATTATTTTCTCTTTCTCTTTACCATTTATCATATTGTTTTAGGCTAATGGGAATAAATATTTTTTTTATCATCATTCATTTAATTAAAATTTAAGATATTATAATTTTATGATAAAATAAAAATAATATTAAATTTATGTTATTCAAATAATTAAATTAGTTATATATTTGTATTTAAATAATAAAAATAAGCATGATAGTTATATTTATTTTATTTTATATTAAATTATTTAAATATTTGTATTTATTTTAAATTCTTTATTAATTTGAAAATATATTTTTTAATTATATCATTATTTATTATTAAATTTTTTATTAAGATATATACATTGATACTAAATGACATATAAAATAATAATAATAATAAATAAGAAATAATAACCAATAATAATACAAAATTTATGAAAAGAAATTATAAAGGCATTTTAAATTTTAGTAAAAATTATAAAAATAAATTTTATAAAATAGTATATACAAATATCACTATTGTTTAATAATAATAAAGCTTTACATATTGAAGAAAAAAATATATAAATAATTTTTTATTATTAAAGTAAAAATTTATGTATAAATGAATTAAAATAATAATTAAGATATTAAAATTTGAAAAAAAACTATAAAAACTAATTATGTAAATCGTGATCAATTTGATATGACCACAAATTAAATTAATAAATTTTAATTGATAGGCATGAAAAATTATTAAACGCTTGATATAGATTAAATTAAAATAATAAAAATTGTGGAAAAATAAAAAAAAATTATTGTAGAAAAAAGTACACGATGTATTAAAAATCACTTGAGAATTTTTTTAATTTTTTTTAAATTATAAATATTTTTTATAAGAGATAATTTAAGTTGAGTAAAAAAAATATCCTTATAAATATAAGAAAAATCATATTGTGCATTACTAGGGATGGAAATAAGTAAGGTCGTCCAATAAGAGCCTACTACTTGACCTTTTTAAAGCTTAGCCTATTTAATTAATAGACATAATTTAAACTTTTTAAAAAATTTAAATTAATTAAATAAGTCAGTTTTGAGTGTAAAAAAACCTATTAAACCTATTAGAATAACCTATTTAAAATTTATAATAATACATTAAATGATTTTATATAAAAATTAAAATATAATAATATATAAAAATTCAATTTTGTCACAAGTATAATTTGACATGAAAATCAAAGGCAATAACTTCTGAAAATATTTTTAAAAAATATTTGAAATAACTATTTTAAAAGTATTTTTATTCTAATAATATATATATTTTTTATTTTAAAGGTTGATAAATAACATGAAGAGATCTCTTTAAAAATCTGATGTCTTATTTGTTATTTTTTATTTACTATGAAAATATATTATAATTTGTGCATTTGCTAATTTTAGGTCTGAAATTTATTTAATTATATTGTGTTTGTTGATTTAATATATAAGACTTTATGCTACTAGATTTGCTTAAAGATTTATAAATTAATGTTTATTTTATTATATTTTTTTGTATGTGTAGTGATTTATTTATTTAAATTAAGTATGTGATTGAAAAGTAATAAATAAGAATATGTAATTTTATTATATATATTTAAGGTGTTAATTTTTTTTAATAGTTTATTTAAATATAAGTCTTATAACTTTTAAAAGGACATACTTATTTAGATGATTTAATAATTTATTTTCTATTGAATATCTCACTAGGAAGGAGACTATTGAAAAAGCTAACAGATCAAAATCAGATTTTAAAAAGTGACTAGCTCTATAATAGGTAATAGACTAGACTTAAGTTTTAAAATTATTAAATAAAATTATTTATACAAAATTTAGCCTATTTCATCTCTATACATGACGAAGAGTGGTTTAAAAAAAAAATAAATCTCACTTTAAATGTTATTGACTCAAATTTAATATATATTTTATTATATACTCAAAGTTGTCAAATTTTACTCGGCTTGATTAGAATTATATGATAGTTAGCTACCCAAGCAAAATTGTCTTAGTAGAGTCATTATTAAAAGTTATGTTTATACTCAATATTTTACTGTAATTTTGATGATAGTTTTTTAAATATAATAAAAATATTTTTTAAATAAATTATTTAACAAGTACATTAAAATAAAAAAAACTTATAAATTATAGATTATTTTCATAAACTAAACTCTTTCTATTCCTGGTTTAATAATTTTCAGCATTACTAGTTCTTAGGATAAAAAATATAAATTTTATAAATCAGTTCTATGGATATTAATTAAAAAAAGATATTAAAAATTATTGACAAGAGTATATTTATAATAATTTTTAACAAAATATTTACTTTTAATTTCTTAAAATTAGTATTTGTTAAACAAATTATTTATTATATTAAAATTAACATGTGAAAATTAAATCAAGATCTAATGTACATTTATTTTTTATGTGCAATGAATTTAGTTACGTAGTATTCCTGTAAAGGATATACTCGTTCACTATAACTTTTGTTCTTGCATACTGCTGTGACGTTTTCATAGAATATTTCAAATTCTCCTTGTCCGTAAGGGGAGAGTACTTGCAATGACACTCCGACGGTCAAGTAAGTGTTCGGTATAGAATAATAAATGCTATTAAATATTTTGAAGTCTCCCTTTTACCTGTCCTTCTTACTTTCCTTTTCTAGGCATAATATTGGGCTAATGAGTTTGATGAGTCAGTCTTAAATTAACTTTCTAACTGTTTGTATAATTAACCTTTTCTTTATTGGTTATTTACCTTAATTAACTTTGTTAATTTATTTTGACATGACTGAAGCGATGACGGTACCACTCTTCTGAGAGTGAGGCCGAATGGGTATTGGTACCTTTGGTTCAGAGGTGAGGGCGAAAGGGTATTGGTATCACTTGTGCAAGAGTGAGGCCGAAAGGGTGTTGGTACTTCTCGTCTGAGAGTGAGGCCGAAAGGGTAGTGAAGCGGAAGGGGTATTGGTACCACTCGTCTAGAGGTAAGGCCGAAAGGGTGTTGGTACCTCTCATCCGAGAGTGAGGCCGAAGGGGTTGTGAGGACGAAAGGGTGTTGGTACCTTTCGTCAAGAGGTGAGGCCGAATGAGTGTTGGTACCTCTCGTCCGAGAGTGAGGCTGAAGGGGTTGTGAGGCCGAAAGGGTGTTGGTACCTTTTCTCCAGAAGTGAGGCCAAAGGAGTGTTGGGTTCCTGATTTATTTAAGGATGACTGAATAGTGCCTTATCTGGTACACTTGCTCCCCAAGCCCGAGGAGATATGACGCAAGGGCTTGAATTAGGCTTTCTTTTAGAACTAGTAGGTACGAAGGTGATGTTGCCTCGTAGTTTGTGTTATGAAAGAAAAAGGTTAGGCTTTTACGATTGCTGATACTCATCAAATTTGACCATTAGGAAGATAGGTGACTCTTCATCTGCCCGATGCCTTCCACACTATAAAAGAGTGGGTTTGGGCAATGTGGAATGCTTACTTTTGCTCTGCACAAAAGGGGTCTATATTATTCTAGTCTGAGTCTTCTGCAATTTGCATTTCAAGTACGTGTGCCTAGCCATTTTTGAGTTTTGTTGTTAGTTTTTACAAATGGAGAGGAAAATAGAGTGGAAAGACTCATTATCGACATCTGGGTTAAGGGATAATTTGGGGCCGAGTAATGGTTTAATTGATGAGGTTAGGAGTGGTTTAATAGCTGAACCCCTAAATGGAGTATCAACCGAAAGAGTGAGCGGCTCAGGTTTTAAATGAAGTACTAGCTGAATATAGGAAAATCGCGGGGGATCATTAGTCTAAAAAATGAATTATGCCGAGGGGGTTTATACGTATTTTTTGTATGTTTTGGGCCATTAGCACCAATTTTTGTAAGACCTCAGCCTTTTAGTGCCTTCATTTGGAATATACAAGTTTCTTTCTTAATAAAATTTTGCTGTCTAATGAAATTTTTAGTGACAACATTATACATGACTAAAAACTGAACAAGTTAAAAATGATTGGTAACCATAATATTTGCAGCTAGTTAACACTTCAAACCGAATAAGTTACACAACAGTAATAATTCATAGTAAGCGTCTACGAATATTTTAACCGAATGGGTAAATGTAAAGTCTCCCTTAACCAAGAGGAGTTGTTAGGAGATAAAATAATCAAACCAAGTGAGATTCTTGGAAAAATAAACACTAACTGAGATAAATTGTAGAGAGGAAATAATTGAATCTTGGTTAAGGAAGATATCCGAGAGGTGATGACAATTCAATCTTAGCCAAGAGAGGTACTCAGGAGTGAATATTTAATTTGACCTTAGCCGAGTGAGGTACTCGGGAGGAAATTTTGATTCAACCTTAGCCGAGTAAGGTACCCGCGAGGGAATAATAAGAGATTGTTAACTTGTAAAGAAAGTTCTGTCGTTTTATTGATGAAGTGTCTCATTAAAGACCTTATTTGAAAAATCTTTTTTCATGTTCTTTTAAGAGGACAAAACTCGAGTAAGAAAATAGTGCACTAAATTTACAAAATACAATTTCTAGCTTGAGTGGGAGTGTTTGTGCGCTTCGGTATTGTCAATATCTTTGTTGTTAAAGCTTGCTCAAGTACCCTAGATCAATTGGTGTTTAACATTGTGTAACTCGCAGACCTAGGTCCCTTTAAGAGACGTTCAGTTCTGATCTTTTGGTCTTTATTTTTGTGTTTTTTTCTTGCATATTCGTTCCCTCCAGATTTTCTTCAACTGGGTACTTGCTCCATCCGAGCTTGGTTGCAGAACTCGGCTAGTTCTTCCATTTGCATATACTTGGTTGCTTGGCAAAGTAGTTCATCTATGTCAATAGGGGTTTTTTTTGCAGATACTATTGACAAACAGACTTGGCCTAAGGGCTGTTGTGAGATGGTGCATCGCAGTTGTCGGATCCAAGTTTCGGATCGAGAGGGTCGTTTGCCCGAAATGTTCCATAAACGTCTTGAGTGTTTCCTTCTTCTCCTGACGAATATTAACTAAAGCCAATGAGGTCAGTTGATGAGGATGACTGGTGGCAAACTGCAAATTGAAGTGCGTGACAAGCGTCACAAACGAGTCTATGGAAGCGGACAGTAATCCAGTGAACCAGTTGAAAGCTGGTCCACAGAGTGATGTCGGGAATGTTCGACATAGTAGGGCATCATTGTTAGTGTAAAGGCCGACTTGGGTAGTGAATATATCCACGTGCTCCTCAGGATAAGAAGTTCCATCATATTTTTCCAACATCAAACTTTTCCATTTGTCTGGTAATCTCGCTTCTAAAGTCTGCCGAGTAAAGGGGTTACGGCTTGTAAGTATAAAATTTATTATTGTTAGTTTAATTTAAATTAAATATATAAATAATATATTTATTTAGGAAATTATTATTATTTTGTTTGAATTTAGAGTAAAAATGATAAGAATTAATTATTTTTCATTTGTAAGAATGCATAATAAGTTGAATTGTTATTATTTTATATTAGAATGACAGAGTTTGTAAAGAAATGAAGGAATGAGTTTCACAAGAAATAAAAAAAATGATTCAAATCAAACGAGGATTAAGTTTTAAAATATTTAAAAAATTTATTAAAATTTATATCAATCATAATCAAGTTATTTTTAAATTAATTTTATATTCTTTTACCAATAAAAATGTTAAGGAGTACATAATTTTGGAGAATATGATAATGAAGATATTGATTGTATGATAAGTGTAACATCTTGATTTTTGCGGGTGTAAAGCAATTTTCTTTTCCAAGTAATCCAATTTATTTTATAAATTTTTATGATTTTTAGTTAAGAGGTTTTAAAATAAAAGTATTTATTTTTATTTCATTAAAATAATTTCTTTCTAAATGCATGTTTGATTTTTAAGAAAAAGAAAATTTCTAATGCTTTAGAGGTTGTCTGGGAAGGAGGTTTTGAAGGGGAGGGTAAAATTTATATATTTAAATAAATATATGTAAAATTAATATTGTTTAAAAATAAAATATATAAATTAATATATTAACAAAAACTTAATGTATTTGTCATCATAAATAATATATAATTTTTTTAAAATTTAAATTAAAAAATATGTCTTTCCTTCCAAAAACCTCCTCCTAAATATACCCTTAAAGTATTTAAAAATTATTTAGTAAGTTATCTCAAAAGTTTTGACTCTTGAGTATTACCTTGAGAAGACTCTTTAAGTGGATTTGATTTGTAAATCTAGCACATATGAATGGGGGGTGGTGTAGTGGTGGAAAATCAAATCCAATAGGGTGAAAACTGCCGCTCTTCACGGCCAAAAAGCTTGAGTCTTTCCCTATCCATGCATTTGTTTTTGCATGGTGAAGAGGAACCTTAATTGTTCTTCTGGATACTAAAACAAGGTACAAACCCTTTCGCATATATCTTTCTCCATTTTTCACATATCAAAGGCAAGGAGACAATGTTTCTACCATTCCTCCATGAGAAAGGTTGTGACTTTGTGTATACGGCCGCTATGTGAGGCATTTTTGGCCCTCTAGACATGGACCTTTTCATCTAATAATTACATATTTGATTTGTGCAAAGAAAAATCTTCCAAACGCACTTTGTTTCACTCAAAATAAACACCAAATTCTCAAGTTATAAGCAAAACAGTGAGACTTTCCTTTAATCTGGGTATTTTGCATTCCAACAGCAAAAGAGTTTGTTTTTTCTTTCTAATCTCCAAACTTAACATGCAATTACTTCTCTGTATTTCTTGTAGAAATACCTTTCTAACAGTGTATCCTAAGTTATACTCCAACAATGTTCACCCTCTCTACCATCCAATGTACTAAGCCATTTTAATTTGAAGATTTTATTTTCATAAACTACATGAAAATGGTTTTCCAACACATATTTTTTATTTTAATTTGAACCTCATTTAGGTAACTTATGACATGAAAATACATAAGTGGTGCAAAGATGTAAAATCTACATGAACAACAGAGAAGTTTGGTTTTTATGCACTTATTTATGCATCAAAAAAGAATTTTAAAAGTTAATCTTTATCCTTAAGATCTTAGCTTTTTAACAAAATTTGAAGATCGTGATTCGAATATCATTTCAATATATTAGCTTAATTTTACAAATATCGTGTAAATATGAAAATTTTTAATTTTTTGCATGATCGTATCGTTGTTTTTAAATTTTTTTAAAATATAGTAGTTTTTGGTGAAATTAGTTCATAAGATTACGATGGACTCCTATATGAATTAGAACCCAAGAAATCAAGAAATCTCAAATTTTGAAAAAAAGAGACCTAAGAAAAAGAGTTTGCAAACCTACCTTACCCATAAGTTAAGGGAAAAGAAGTATTTCAAATAAAAAGTAAGAACTTGTGATATTTGTTTTTATTGTAATATTTTTGAGTCTCTACATAAAAATTTCTATCTATGTTTTGAAATGTATTTGTGAGTGTATTTTAGTTGTGAGGACATCATTACTTTATATTTAATTTTTGAATGGAGATTGTCTTATGAAACTTGTAATTTTCAAGTTTAGTTATTGATCCAGAAAGTTATTTTGATGGAGAACCTAATTGAAATGCTTGATATGGATGAGTACTCATGTTTAATCTATTTGAACAAAGTTACATCGATTGTTGTATTCTTTTGAAAGGTACGGTTTGGTGGATGTGTTTGACTATGTATGTAAATGTTGTTTGCAATCTAAACACTAGCAAGTGCACTAGTATTGCAGCAAGTAATGAGTAAATTTAAGATCCAAATATTGTCTCCACAGGAAATTTAGGTTTCAAGTACCACTTTACAGAATTATAACCATTTGAGCCATACGAATTTTGGAGGAGAGTTGTAACATACAAAAGCAATAAACTAAAACAATTAAGAGTAAAGAAAAACGTGCAGAAAACAGATCAATGAATGCAATGTGAGATTAGAAATGGATTGAAAGGTAGTTAGGAATTTACTTCACAAGAATGTCAATATTAATTCAATTATGCTTCTGAAAATTCAAGAACTTAATTAATTGACAACCAGTTTCGCATATCAATAGCCAAAGGTTAATCCCTTAACTCATTGACCCTAATAAGCAACTAAACCACCCTAATCCCTTAGGTGAAGTTCAATTTCAAGTTGCATTAAGACTTAGAACCTTAAGATTGCAGAATTAGGTCTCTTTATCCCTAAGAAATCCCTAAATTTTGTTTGCAAACTCAGATCAGAGAATCAAATCCAACTTCTATTGGTAAATGTTCCCCTTTGATGAACCATACGAATTTCCATTCATAGATTGCAAGAAAAGCAGAATTCACAATTCAATTAATCCAAGAACTCAAAATTCAAAAACAAGAGTCAAATCAATACATCAATTCAAGTTCCATAAACTCTTAACTACAAGAAAACTACTCAGCCATGGGAGAAGAGAAAGAGAAAGAAGAAGAAGAAGAAGAAGAACTCCAAGAAGCCATAGCCAAAAGCTCCAATCCGATTCCTCCTTTTGGAAGCTTCAAGACTTGACCCAAATCTTCTCTATCAATCTCTCTTAATGACAATTTAACAGAAAAACGAAAAATAAAACTGAACTCTAAAAATCTGGGCGCATCTGGTATTTATAGAAATTCCCAGATTTGTACGTTATCACTTTTATGAAAAATAGTAGCTACGCAGAAGGTTTATGGTTGCGCGTTAACACTTCTATGAGAAAAAGTGACTACGCGCAACTTTTCTGATATTGAGAGCTCTTCTGGAACTATTACTCTTGCTGATAAAAGTAACAACGCAGAGCTCAAGTGGTTGCGCGTGATCACTCTTATGAATAAAAGTGATTACGCGCAACTCGCCAAGTTGAAGGCTCTCTGGAATATTTACTTTCGATGATAATAGTGGTTACGCAGAGCTTTCCTGATATTTTGCCTCTCTGGAACGCTCACTTTTAATGATAAAAGTGGTAACGCCCATGCTTCATTTCTTCTTTGAGTTTTGGAGTGATCACTTTCACTGACAATAGTGATCGCGCCCAGCTTGCATTGCTTTGTTCTTGTGTTTTGGAGTCCAAACTTGCTACTTTCCTCTTCCTTTTCATCAAGCCTCCATTTTCATGAACCTTGCTCAAATTATTCCTTCAAAAACAAGATCAAAAACTTAATTTCTAAGCTAAAATTTCACAGTTTCTAAAATAACTATAAATTGAAAGAAAACTTCAAATCATTTTCTTTTTCTGAGTTTTTCTGCTTTCTTTATATATTTTCCTTATCAAATGAGTTAGAATTATGCTAAAATATCAGTAAAAATATAGATTCATCAGTAAAACACTAAGGATGTGCATATAAGCATTTGCAATCTGAGTAGAGACAATTTGTGAAATTAAGCCCTTTTAAGGGTGAGAAATGCGTAATAAAATGCTAAAAGAAAATCCATATGTAAGTATATGCACTTTAAGAAATTTGCCCTTGATTTTAACTTAGACCTTGAATTCATAATTGAACCTAATGGTTAAAAGTAAACTTTTGTGAATACTTGTTTTTCTTTCTTTTGGAAAATAAATGAGTAGTGTAACTCTAGATGGGTAATGGTTGAAACTTAAGAAAAAAGATGAAGTTAGTAAGCTTGGAACTCTTAGAGAAACTGCATAAGAGCATGTGTATAGGTACTTGTCAATTCTTTAATGTGGTTTAGAATAGTTGGTGAAAGGGATATGAGATCTAAAGTTGGTTATCACCCATGTATGTGATTAAAGGAGTAAAACTCAATGATATATACAACTATTTAGAAGGTAAATGTGTATGAATTTCACTCCTCTGTGAAGTAAGTCACGAGATTATTTTATAACTATTGTTGGTGAAGGATAAGGAGGATCTTAACGTCTAAGAAATTTAATGGAGTTAGGTGACTTACCAATAGCCTAATGAGTAATCTTAGGCCTAAACCTCTAGCTGAGAGTCTTTGTGTGATGCTTTTTTTATCCTAATTTTGTTATGAGACTTATCATGTTAATTGAGCTAGATCAATTAGTGGAGGTTCAAGTTTCCACCATACATGCAAAATGTAGATTGATTAGTGAAACTTTCAACAATTTATGAGCAATAAGATTGTTATGGATCTAAAGTTGTATAAGTATAAAAATGAGATTTTTGGCAAATCAAGAATTATCATTTGCATTGATTATGCATCATGTAGTTAAAATTATATTTTATTAAATTGTGAAAGTTATAACTGTTCTAATGTGGCATATTCTTGTATTTACTTTATTTTATTTCTTTTTCTAAATATTAT